GTGGAAACAGACCACGCTTTTCTACGAGCCAAATTCTCCTTACGCCTGGCAAACAACCGCAAAAAAAGCCACAGAACGGATAACCACGATACAACCTCAGCGATTGCTGCAAGCGGAACTCTCCGATCGCCTGTCAGTTCAGTCACTAGCCGCCCTAGACTCTGGCGTTGCCTCTCACTCTCTGAATGGTGTACCCTAGAAGTTTATTTCAATATTACGATCCCTCTATACTAACAGCCGAAACCAAATCCGAGCTTACCGCACTTGTTCGCCCGAGTTCACCATAGAAAGTGGTGTTCGATAGGTTTGACCTCTCTCTTTGTTTCTATTTAACTTTGTCATAGATATAATTCTTGAAAAAGCCCTAGCCTCATGCGAGGATAGTGGCATCGATTTACTCCCAGGTGGCAGACTGTCTGATCTAGAGTAAACGACAGTTACTAAATGAAGATCCAGGTAAGTTGCAAGCTTTTTTCGATAGTTTGAGTGCTGGTGTAAGCATGTTCAGTATGCGCTTTGCACCTTCAGCGTGTGAAATGTTACTACAAGACTGGGTTGGTCCAGCACCCAGACTCACTCTAACTGGGGAAGTAATAAAGCAAGTAGATGAGTTTTGTTATTTGGGTAGCTACATCTTACCCGCTGGATGCATCACGGATTAAGTGTTTGTACGTAGAGAGGAGGCTCGATTGACACCTGCCACCTTGAGATATCTGTGGCGCCGTCGCGAAATTCGGTTGTTTGTGAAGAATTGAGCTTATGTTGCTGCAGTTCGGCCAGTTTTGCTGTACAGCGCAGAAACTTGGCCATTGAGAAAACAAGACACAGATAGACTGTCGGTGTTTGAACACCGATGTCTACGCAGCATTGCACGAATCTGGTGGGGCAGACGAACGAGCAATGTTGAGATCAGGCGCAATTGGTCGACCTCAATAGATTACGTTGGTTGGGGCATGTGTTATCAATGTCACCAGATAGTTTGCCACGGCGAGCGATGTTCGCCGAGGCAAGTAGTGGGTGGAAAGCCAAGAGTGGTTAAGCTAAGACCTAGGGTATGAAAACCCTAACCAGGATTCTGGGTCAAATAAGTCCTATTAGGCTCCCTGGATGAGGACCTCGGGATCATAGTAAACAATGGTTAGAGACAGTGAGTGATACGGCTGAATGTCGTAAATAGTGGCGCTCGTGTATCTCAATTTTTTTGCAACCTTAGTCTACTGAAATTCTCAATTTTCTCTTCAACTTTCCTGCCTTTTCCCTACTGTTTCATCCAAATAGGCAGCAAAAAATGGCAACCAAAACCACCGCAAGAAATTGCATGGATAATGGTTGTACAAACTGAAACTAAAAAGCCTTAGCCGCTACAAGCAACTTCAACAGTAAACAAATGTTAAAAGATGAAACCCACATAATAATAGGATGGATACATGAGTTCGGTGAACTCACACCGATTACACAAGGAACATTTGTAATCATTTCCAATTAGTGTATTTAAAAAGACAAACGAGTGCAAGGAGCAAGAAAAATATCAGTTCTTTCTGAACACTTTACGATGGTGAACAGTCGAAGGGGTGAACGTTACCGTCAAGAGGACGGGTCACCGACCCACTGTACGGCCTAATGTAATAGTTATCGTAATGGGTCATGGATAACGAAGCGGTCAAGTGCCACATGAGTGATCAATAAAAAACGCCGGTCTTAATTGAAACCTAAAGACAGTAGGACACTTTTAATGAACGGAATAAGTGTGATGATTTTGTTGTGCTGTTAAACAGCAAAAAGGATCGTTAGGGTTGCTGAACTGCACATCGGTCAACACAATCTATTCAATTCTAGTAGGACTCTTTAGCTGGTCACTTTTAATCAGCGATCCAAGGCCAAAAACACTCTGTTAATCTGTTCTCGATGAATTTGGTCCTCCAGAATGAGCACGGAAATATAGGGGAAGGGATTAGAGAAAAACCCACCTTAGCCAATTGTTNTCGGGCGAAGGACCTGAATGAGGAGCTGTGATTGAAAGATAACGGAGGGGGAGGAAACAAATCGAAACAATCGGTGAATAAAATGAAGCTGGATTTCAGACAAAAATACTCATTCGAAGAGAAAATAATGAGTTGAGCAGGATCTTGGAAGAAATTTTAATCCAATTTTAACATCTGGTAAACTTTGTTTGCATTGATTGATCTACTTTGTGTCCTTCTTTATGTCTCTATGCACGAAGTATATTAACAAAAGCCTATCTTTATGCCAAGAATCTGAGAATCAAATCGTGAAACTTGGAGTAGAATACCGCACGATATTGGACGGGGCTAGAGGAGACTGTCATACCAATGCACAAAGAATTGACAATTCGAATACGTCTTTACAGTCCATCGTCATTATATTTACCAGTGGTAGAAAAACTGGACCTCCAGTAGAATCAAACCTAAATGACTATGATTGGCAAAGCTCAATGAAGCACCTGAACAGCATCGCTGAGGTGTCACAGTGCTTTAAGACAAACTTTCGGTGAATTAAGTGGGTTCCAACGACCACGATTAGCAAAACAGGCTTGATTCAGCCCACTGATCAAGATTTCGTATCACTTCCTCTAGTCGGGTATTGGCTATCTTTACTTCTGCCCTACTCATTACCAGCGTTGGATGTAGGATTCTGTAGCAAATTTAACTCCATTACTGGTCATTACACCGAACTACGTGGTGACGATAACAGCCCTAATAACGCCGGATGCACGATTAGGGGTCAGTTAAAGCAACAGCAACTACATGAATCAACATGCGCAGAAACCTCAACCAACAATAAGTCACATCCAAGGTGTTCACGTCGTCTATTCATTAAACTCATTCACTGTCGTTACATCCGCTGAGGCAGATGGAGCTGTGTCTATTCATTATTCACTCCGCGTTAGATCCCTGAACTCTGATAAAACGTTCAACATATCAACGGTTATCGTCTTTTTGGACCTACGTGTTCTGTTCAGCTTAGTGTTCAGAGCAGCTCTGTGGCTGTATTTGCTGGAAACGAACACAGTGAGGAAGCCGTGATCCTTCTCGATTTCGTCTACTTAGAAACATCAAGATCTATGACTGTCTCTCTCGCGAGTGAAATGCGATGGGGCTGTCCAAGTTCACCCTTTCTGTGTTATTTTAAAATCGGGGAAAATCTAAAGAGTGCGCCAAAAGTGCCACAATTCTGATGTCTAACTAACTGTACCTCAGTGGTCGATTACTTAATCTAGAGTATGCACGCGATATCGCCTTAATCTAAGACAACTCCCGAGACGCTGAAGATATCCTACGCAAGCTAGGTATATCTGTTTCAGTTTGGAAGGAACTACTTTCCATTGAAGTGTTGCGTCTGACCATAATATTGGTGGGAAGATGCTGTGCTCACATTGATCCTGATGGATAAGCAGCTAGAAATTTTCGGCCATTTTTTCTACCCTGGTTGTTGCCTCGGCTTAAGAAGATTGAAAAAATGGATATCAACTAGCATCCACAAGATCACAGTGGCACTCGTCAACCTGTTATGTTGGTCGTAGACGTGATCCCTGTCTTCCCTTGAAAGGTCAAGTTTACAATACCCCGGCACATGTAGCCACGCTCCATGGCTGAGAGTTGGCCCAATCACGATAAGGAATGAAAATGGACTGACTGTCTTCTACCATCAATGCTTCCGTTCTATCGCCAGAATATGATGGCAACAGCGAAGCACCAATGGTGAGATTCATCGGAAAATCTTCGTCTCATACAGGTTTGGCTGGCATTTAATTGACACAATCTCGCTCCGAAGGCTTCGATAGTTCTGAAGTGCTGCGCATGTCGATCCAACGGCTGCCCCATCGTGCTACGTTTGTGCAAGTCGACGCAAACTGAAAGCGGCGACAAGGGGAACAACGAATGACCTGACCTTTAAGGATGCAAACAATAACATCAAAACTGTGTGCTGTAGGACGCCATCAGCATCCAGAGTGGTGGTGATGATGTAGTAGTAGTAGTTTAATCATTGTCACCGGCATGCTTTAGACCCTGTGGTCCGAGGTTTGAACCACGACACCACCATCTAGCTTTGACGGTAGACCGCTTTGCTGTCGTCGGGTTCAACATCTCACTTAATCTAGCGGGGTCTTATGTTGTTCTCGACTCCAAGTCCTGGGGCCTAGGTTTTATTTTTTCCGCGGCTGGCTCCTTGAAAAGGATAAGCCGGTTCCATGAATGTCTCTGATTGCTGCCGTAGAAGACATGCTCACGACCTAATTTGCCGGTTTCCATCACTGAACAGCAGGTGTTCACAGATATGAAGATCTCCCCGTCTGCTGTTTATCATATAAAATGTGATAAAAAATCTGAAGGTCGAAAGATAACAACCATCTATGGCTCGAGACACTACCCCTAGTGGCTCGAAACCGGTGTCAGTGGCTTACCTGTTTTGAGATTTACTTTTTGACATAAATCAACATTCTTCGATACTTATAATTTATTTATTTATTTTATTAGACATCCGTGTGTGATGAACAGCAGACGGGGCGAACCACATAATCGTGAAGACCTGCTGTTCAGTTATGGTAATCGGTATCCTAAGCACCAGGACTTGGAGTGGCAAATCACATAAGGCCAGGTTAGGTCAGGCGTGGTAGTGAACCGGATGACAGCAAAGCTGCCTACCACCAATAAATAAGTTATTCGAGACTTTTTCAACATATATCAGGATCTGTACAATGAATACATGATGTCAATCAATATAACTGCTAGAAATAAAAAAACAGCAATTTGCATGATTTCAATTCATTTTATTCGCTAGTTCTTTGGGAGCAAACTACTGACAAAACACTTCATAAAGGTGAATTTGATAAAACACCTCTAATTAAAATAATGCAAAAATCCGAGAAAGACTATTTGAGTGACAAAATGTTTCATGACACAAGATACACCCTTTCGGAAAAGAAATTCAGACTTACAGGGTTTTGGGAATTCATCGGAATCTGTGTCTGACTGCTTCGATTCGTTAGGACCCTTCATTGGTTGGCCATTTGGAACTCGTGCAGAAACGGGTTTCCGCACTGGTGGTTTAGGCTTAACTTTTGCCGGTGATTTAGATTGTATTGATGATTCATCTGTTTTCTGCTCGTTGGGAACCTCAACCGGCTTTGATTTGGCTGGAGACCTGACAGTCTCAGGTTCCGTTGGCGGATTGGCAGTTTCGGTTTGATCAGGCGACTGAGTTACCTTGGGCTGGATCGGACTTTTGGGTTGTGGGGGTGGGTTATCTGAAGTAGGAGGTTGGGGTTGGTCGGGTGTGGGACCATCACCCTTAGATGTGACTTTAGCAGGACTTCTGGGCGGTGGGGCTGGTTTGGGTGACTTAGCGAATGACTTGCCGCTTGCTTTGCTAGTAAAAGGGTCCGAGTTTTCATCTATTTCATCCCAATTGATATTATAAGCACCACGGGAACTTAGCGGTCTGTCATCCATACCAAACTACCTGTAAGTGAACGAGTGACAAGCAAAAAATTACACTTGAAATGAAGGTGTCACAATTTTAGGGAGCAATAACCACTTTATTTCAAGTGAAATATCTTTCAATTATGTTTCCAAAATATAAAAGGGGTGGGCAAAAGAAAGTTGAAGACAGGATTACCCATGAGAAACGGATAGGATAATCAAACGATTGCTCGCATAGAAGCAAGTTTGATTTTGCACTGAATATTACTTTCCCTTCGGTTAGCACACATGGAGTGAGTAGATTAAATAGATACGGATGCGTCAACATGGTTTTGTACCTGACTATCAGAACGAATGAAGGGCTAATGGTGGCCGGTACACAAGCTATGCAGTAATATCCCACGACGGAACTAAGTTTCCTCGGGGGAATTTTGTCGTCTTCTTAGAGCTAAATAGTACAGGAAACTTTATGCATTGCGCAAGGCAAACTGGCATTCACCATGCTGAAATGTATGGAGCACTGCTACGACAACGGAATAAGCATTATCATTCTAATCTTTGTTCAGTTTTGCTGATCAGCTCCTAACTGTATCGTGATGTCTTTGTGAGCTTGTTGAAAAGTGGATCAGTGAACAAAGAGCGACAAAAGGTCGTGCTTCTCCCTTTCCATTTGTTGCCATCCATATTCTTTTTTTTCTATTACACATTTTCGTGTGATGAACAGCAGAAGGGGAAAGCCCCAGGTCACGAGGACCTGCTGTTCGGTGATGGAAACCGGTAATCTAATCCCCGGGACTTGGAGTGGAAAAAAACAAGGCCCCGATAGGTTAGGTGTCGTATTGGACCGGACGACAACAAAGCTACCCACCACCAAAGTTGGGTGACGGTGGCGGGGCTCGAACCTAGGACCACAGGGTCCAAAGCACCGAATTCACATTAGAAGCTTCGCTGGTTGGGAACGTATTGTGTACGCCCGGCTGTCGTCTACCGAACCAAGCTTTATTTGCTGTAGCCGCTACGGGCTGGAGGAACCCACGTGGTCAGCAGATGACGTGGAAACGAGGCATAAAGAAATTCACAGAACGATTATGTAGGGTAGGTGTTTCGCACTCTCCAGGTTGGGATCCGAAAGACTCGGAAACTGGTTGGTGGGAGACACTGAAGAATGAGGCAGCGAACCGGAAGCAGTGGCGTTCTTGTTGTCGCTTCTTATCAGGCCAGAATACTTGAAACGGTAGGTATGAACAGTTATATTGTGTACTCGGTGTGTTTACCATACAGGTTCACTTTCTTTTCTCTTCCTCAAAATAAATCCAAGCCATATCAACCTTACATATAACCACTAATCTTGTGTGCATTGCCAGTTTGGCAGCGATCAGTGAGCAAGCTTGGTGCCAACGCAACAAGAATAACACTACTTGAGGGGTTGGGACACGAGGCAGAGTAAAATGGGGCCAGGCAGTCAAGGCGAATATCGAGAATAACAATTTTGCTTATTTATTTCAGCGTAAACTTTTCATACTTTTTGTTGTAGTTTGTTTCTTTATGGAGCACAGAACTTCAACAGGCAAACCGTTCAGCATTGGCACCACTGACTTCTATTCTGGGCCATACCTCTTAGCGGCTCTACCCTCCGGTTAAGCAGAGCTGCATGCTACCAGGCGAATCCCCGGGGTGTAGATAGGGGGATACATTCACCGAAGAAGGTTAGCTGTGAATGAGTTGTGGCATACCGCAACAAATAAGCAGTCGCGAACAAAAAGCGGCGGCACTACCAGGGTGTGGTGGGTTTCAGGTTAGTCACCTGGCTCCTGATTAAAAGCCGCATAAGTAAAATGACGGTGTCGTGACAAAGGTCGATGTGACTGGCCTTTTGAAACCAAGGTCATTGACCCCCTCACTTCTGGGATGAGGGA